TGCGGGGAGGGAGGAATCTCTGATTTTGAGAAGATTAATATTTTTGTGAAGAATACTTCAAAAGTGTTGTAGGTACAAACTTCCAGTTATAAAGGAAGTAAGTCATGCAGAGGTAATGTACAGAATGGTGACTCTGGTTAACACGCTATTGCATCTTTGAAAGCTGCTAAGAAAATAGATTTTCAAAGTTCTTATCACAAGAAAAATATTCTGTAACTCTGTGGTAATGGATGTTAACTGGACTTATTGGGGTGACCATTTCCTAATATATATAAATATCGAATCATGTACTGATGTACTAAACCAATATAATGTTATATGCCTATTATATCTCAAATGGCCCCCGCAAAGTGTTTTAAAGGCTTCTCAACTCTGGAGGGTGGCCCTTCTTTGCGCTAATTGAAAGCAGAAGCAAAGAAGGGGAGAAGGAAGCAACAGTGCCTGTTGGAGGGCAGTGTGTGGGTGGCAGGAGGGCTGGCACACACCACTTCCCCTGAAACATCTCCCTTTTCCTTTCTCTCTTTTTCCTTTGCCTTTTTCTGGTGGAGAGGCCTGGGTCTCACTGGGTAGAGAGAGGCAGGAGCTAGAGGAGTTGGCTCAGATAAGCAATCCTCCCTGGGGGAGCTGCACTGAGCAGGGAAAAGGCAGTTTGCTGGGCCGCACAGGGGGTGGCTCAGGAGCTAATGCTGATCATGCCTCCCTCTGTCTGAGCCCTCTGCTTTCTGTCTGGCCCTAATGCTAAGGGCTCATATGCATTTTTTCATTTGATCCTGACACAGAGCCCCAGGAGGGGGGATCAGTATCCCCATTTGCACAAAAGGAATAGAGGCTCAGAGAGATGAACTTGCTAGGGAGCCTTGTCAGGATTGCAAACCCAGGTCTGCCCTGTCTGGAAACCCGTGCTCTTCCTGTTGTGCTAGCCTAGCAGCACCCACCTGGAAACTGCCCACTGAGACCTTTCCTTTGTCCCCGCCACCTCCTCCACTCCCAGGTTCCCCTGCACCTAATCATTTGCAGGTAACCATAGCTATGCTCCCTACAAGCCAGCTTCTTTTCTATGGGTTTCACAAGCAGACTCTTATTCCTGTTGATCCAGAAGGTTGCCCACCTTTTGTAGATGAGAAACTGAGGCACAGAGGGATGAAATGACTTCTCAAAGCTTCACAGAAATAGCACTAGGATCAACAAAGTACTAGGGAAAAGGATCCGTGCTTTCCCTTTGGGGAGATTCATTTTAGAAGGGGAGCATGTAGTCCCAAAGCAGTGGTGTGCTGGTAATAGGTGAGCAAGCAGCTCTGGGGATCAGGGCCTGATTTGTAGCACTGCTCCCTGACTGTAAATGTTCTCATCGTGGCTTACAGCACCCTCTCAGTGATGTTGAGGAATGCCACGTTGGGAGCAGATGCTAGCAATCGGCACCCACTCCAGACTGTGGGCTTCGGCACCCCACTGAAGGCATCTTTAGTTAGTGACATGTGTGATGGATCAAGCTTCCTCACCTACTTTTCTCTACCAGTCTCCAACTTACTATGTCTCAGAATTAAATAACTTTTCTTGAATGAGTAGCTTTGATTGGGGACACTTGCTTTGTCACCGCTAACAGACTCTTCTTCGTCCAGATTCTCTTTCTACTTCCCCACCACTCCCTGCTCCTTATTTGCTGTTCCTTCTCCATTTCTTTCCTACTCACTGCTTTATCCTGCCCTGGCCTGCCACGTGGCTCAATGTGAACACCTTGGTTTACCTTTTAGGGTGGAGCTGAGGATAGGTGATTTTCTTCTTAAAAAAATTCTTATTCTATAGCACATAAACTATATTTGGGGACTGAAGCAAAAAAAAAAAAAAAAGCTTAAAAATGTCACTTGTTTTTGGCTAAGTTGTAAATGTTGAATACATGGAATTGACCAGGCAGGCTGGAATTTGCTGCATAAGTGCTCTCATGCCAGTCACTTTGCAGCCTCTTTGATCACTCCATCTCAGACCTGGCCCCTGGGAGAAGTCTGGCCGGGATAGAGATGGCTAATGCTGCGTTATTTCTCTAATCCTTGGGTAAATTTTTCCCCCACTAGGAAAACACCTGAGCCTGGTTGCTCTTTTCCCGGGATGGAACAGGAAGAGTTTCACTGGCTACCTCACTGTGAATAAGACTTACAACAGTAACCTTTTCTTCTGGTTCTTCCCTGCTCAGGTAGGCCTGTGACAGCATCCTCACAGGACCCTGACCCTCAAGAGCTGACTTTGCTGCCCCAGCTGGAAGTGTTGGCCTACAAACAAGCCTATGGTTTGGTGTTGTTTGTTAATCTTTTAGATTTTGTTTTCTAATAATAAGTGCCGATGACTCTGTAAGATGTTCCTGTTTATATGCAGGAAACAAATGTTCGCAGGAAAGGACCAACTTTTGAATTCCTTTCAGCCTTATTCAGAATATTAATACTACTACCTTCTTCCTGCCATGGTCATCTTCCTAGCTTTTTGTTATTGTTTTCTTCTAAAAATACCTGCCATGGGGATAGGTGGTGAGGAGCCAAAGGAAGAGACAGGGCGATTCCTGCAGTTCATAGGTAATGCACATTTAAGCACGTCTGTGTTTAGATGGTGGTCTTGAATGGCTGCTCTGTCTGTGATTTTGCTGTGCCAATTACTCTTTTACGAATTGCTTCATGTAATCAGTACCCATTAATACTGTGCAGGGACACAGAGGAGAGGGAGCTAAACTTACTCTGTGAGCCTTTGGGAGAGGGATGGAGAGGACTGGTGATCTAGGATGGCTCCGTGGAAGAGGGGCCACTTATTTTTCCAGGTCCATATACACATAAGTGTGTATATTTTATGCCATAATAATCCTATTTAGTGTACTGCAAGGTCACACAGTTTTCAGCACGAGCATATCACTTTTGGCTTTTAGTTAGTGTTGTGGTTGGTGGGAGAGGGGAGGGTATTGGTGGAGGAGCTGAGATGCATAAACAAATTATATCTCACTACAGGGTAATTTTCTGTTTTTATTTGCCAAATTAGATTTGCTTTAGAAGCTAGAGAAAACAAAGAAAAGGCTATCCACAGAGGGTGGTATTTATATTTGCATGTGATTTGCATATAGCAGTGTTGCATATATAATGACTGGGTAAATTGCTTCAGCCAGGGCAGTTTTCAAAGTAAATTGCTTCTGTTTTACTGTTGGATTGTGTTTTCTTGACTTCTTGTTTTTACTTTCTCACCCATGGCCTCTGACAGGTCGCCACATAGTTGTGCGTGGGTGGAGGTACATAAGAAATGGAGAGAATTCCAGATCTTTTTTAGTTGGGCTCCGAGTAGCCTTCAGGCTGTCACCTACTCTGAGAAGCCTTTCCTGGACTCTAGAGAGTTTCCTATCTTCCTTGGTATTACTGTTGAGTGAGCAAGCGAGGTGCCTAGAGCCCACAATTTAAAGAAAGACTCACTGTCGGGGTCAACAAGCACAGCGTTGGCACCTGAGCCCCCTCCGGACTCCTGCTGGTACGTCCCATTGATGGAACTCATCTGGAAACCAGAGGGCGAGGGAGTGTAGTACATAGAGGTCTGCCTACCAGGGCACAGAGCACAGTAGAAAATGGATCTTCAGAAGCAATCAGGAAAACACCCACATACTCAGCACAACTATCTTGAGGAGGACTGATACACATCAAGTCTAGAAATAGGACCTAATTCGGACAGATGGAAATTCTTCTGTGTTCGTTCGAGTCTCTTACACTTGATGGCTTTGAGAAGCCATACTTTACAGTGCATTGTGGATAGCACATCTATCCAAAATTCTAGGTTCCTATTGCTGCTGTACAAACTACCACAAACCTCATGGTTTAAAGAGCACAAATTTTATTCACAGTTCTATAGGTCAGCAGTCTGTTGCAGGTCTCACTGGGCTAAAAATCAGGTGTTGGCAGGGCTGTGGTCCTTCCGTCATCTCTGGCAGGGACTCTGTTTCCTTGCCTTTGGCTTTCTAGAGGCTGCTCACAGTCCTTGCCACTTGGCTCCTTCCTCCATCGTCAAAGCCTGATCAGCGGGTTGAAGTTCTCTCACATTGCATCGCTTGGGCTGACTCCATAGCCACATTGCCTTTTCTGACTCCCGTCCGCTGCTACCCTCTTCTGTGTTTAAGGACCCTTGTGGTTAAACTGGGCCCATCTGGGTAATCCAGGATCATCTCCCTAATTTTAAGGTCAGTTGATTAGCAACCCTAGTTGCATCTGCAACCTTAATTTCCCTACACCATGTAGCTTAGCCTTTTTACAAGATCTGGGGATTTGGACATGGGTTTCTTTGGAGGCCATTATTCTGTGCAAAATGGATACTTGAAAGAAAAATTGGCCTAGATTTGTGTTCTCCATATGTTCTTTCTCGGTGATTCTCACATTTTATTGTATTTAAAAATTATCTCCCAGTTCCCCCAGAGGTTGTGACTCATAGATTGGGAGTGGCCAGTAAGTTGTAGAATTACCAGGTAGATTGTGTTTGAGGAACAGTTGCTCCAGCCTACGGGTCCCCGCCCTGTTCTCAGTGGTCTGGGCCCCACTAAGTAACCCACACTCCTTTTGCCTGAAAGAAACACCTTGTGTGGCCAGCCCCAGATGGAGCTGGTATGTTGTCCCATGCACCCACCAGGGATGAGGGCTAGAACTGGAGACTGAAGAGGCATGTTTAGGCTGCGGGGGTCTGCTTTCCTAATCCTATTCACTAGTCCTGTCAGGCCTGACCTGATCTGGCAGGGAGGGTTTGACCCCCAGTGAGCTCTCTGTACTCCACCCCCCACCATCCCATCCCCGAAGAAACAGATTCTTTACTTCCTCTTCTCCTTGGTGACTGTTTATGATACCAGTAACTTCCCTGTTGACTGTGCATGTTAACTCTTCCACAGTTACAATCCAGATTTGTGAAAAAAGCAATTATCGGCGAGGGAAGTGATCAAATGAAAGCAAAGTGAAGACACAGTTATTTCTTTCTTAGGTTGTCTCTGAGAAGGTTACAGCTTTGTCTAGAATATAGGTGATGGGCTGGGACTGCAAAGCTGGTCAGGAAAATGGGCTCAGATTCTCTACCCTCTCCTGGTTGCCAGACTGAGTGAATCCCTGCTACATTAAACATTGGCTGGGCTGTTGGGGTCTCCCCCAACCTTAAATGGAGACCTAGCTGTGCATCATCCCCTGACCAGGTATTGGTTCTTCTGGGCCCAATACTATATAGCCTGAAACATATTCTAAGATGATACCAAAAGATGTAAGCATGAGGCCACAACAGGAAAGATGCATAAGCACAGAATGTTCTATTGAAACTGATGGACTAAGGTTCAGGGGAGAAAGAGGCAGGGACCACTGACAGGGGTTACCATGTGGCAGCCAGGATAGACTATTCCAGGACCACTTTGCCCACCCACAGAGACAATATCTGAGGCCCTAAAGCAACCCTTCCTGCCAGATCGGTCAGGCTGTAAATTATGGAATGGACTAGTTTGAGTGAAGGAGATAACGCACGTGAGAAGCAGAAGTGTTGGTCACTGAGATGGGGGAGAATTTCTTTCATTTGGCAGAAACATTAGTTCATTGCCTGTCACAGGAAAGCAGCTGTAATCAGGAAAGAAATGACCCCTTACAAGAACTGAAGGTAGAGAAAATAAGAGATCCAGGAAGGATGCCACATTTGTAATATCCTCTGAGGGTTTTCTGGGGATGCTATTTCTCAAATTAGTTTTGTTTTCCTGTTATTTCTGTGAGATTCCCCTGTCATTGTATATAAATCGGTGCATAATGGATCCCAGAACTTGAAATTGGTGTGCAGTGGGGAAACAATCTGTAGGAGAAATGAATAGGCATTTTGCATGGGATGAAAAGTATAATGAAGACAATTAAAATGTAACAATTAAAATAGCTATTATTAATTGAACACTGACTATGTGCTAAGCACTGTTCATTTTCTTATTTAATCCTTATAATAACCACATGGGCAAGGAATTATTAGCCGTGTTTTATAGATGAAGAGGATTACAGAGATTAAATAGTTAACCCTAAATTGCCCAACTAGAAATTGGCAGAACTGGAATTTAAAAGTAGATCTTGCAGTGGAGAAATCTTTGCTCTTGCTCATTCTATGTTGATCCTAAGAAAACTGGTCATGGAAGGCACTAGACAATGATTGTTAAAAGTATGGCCCTTGAGTTAGTCAAGCCTGCATATAATTTTGGCTCCACTACTTTTGCCACATGTGACTGCAGGCCCATTTCTTAACTTCTATGAACATTGGTTTCCTTGTTTCAAAATGAGTATCAAACTACCTGCTCGATAATGGTTTTGAGACAAATGAGATAATGTGAGAAGGCCCTTAGATTGGTGCCTGATAAATAATAACTAGAGTTGTTATTAATCATCCTCATCATCATTATTAGTTTTCCTATTTATTAACACAAATAATGTACAGAACTAAACCAGTCCCAATTTGGGAGATTCAAGAAGACAGGAAATAGAGGGTGATTCCAAATTGGAAGGAGCTGAATGCCAGCCAAGAATGTAGATTAATTGCTAGTAGGTAAGAGAATCACAAAGTGAAATTGGGATTTGTCATGCTTAAAAAGGCAAAAAGGCATAGAGATTATTACTTTTTAAATTAGCATCCTTTTTATTGGAAAAAAGATACCCAGCATTTGATTTTATCTTTTCAATACAGGAATGTAGTTGACTTGTTGGGTGCATCTAGCCCAAACCTGCAGATTCATTGCCTCAAATGTTGTGGAGCCCCAAATAGACATTCAGAGTCAGGTCTGGACCCCTTTACTAAGGGCCTCATGTTGCTTCCCCTCCCCTTTGGTAACTATTAGTCCATTCTTGGGTTCTGTGAGTCTGCTGCTATTTTGTTCCTTCAGTTTTGCTTTGTTGTTAAACTCCACAAATGAGTGAAATCATTTGCCAAGAGGAATGGCAGGGATTCCTGGTGACTGAGAAAGTCAATATCACACTGAGGAGGCTGGGATAGGATGAGGCACGGGAGGCACCTAGAGGCAACATTTGAGCTCCCTCCTCCTCAGGATCATGCAGGTGCTGACCTTGCTTAATCAGGCACCAGGAAAATCAAAGGAGCATGGGATTAAGTTAACACAGCCCACAAATCTACAACCCAGGACAAGGGCAATGAGCCCCTCTAGTGCTCCTGGGCCAAAGCAGAAGGTGA